GAGGCTGACCTTGTCAATTCAAATTTCTATCAGGTACGTGACAATACCTCACTAAAATGTTCAAATAAGAGTCCACAGCCCTGGATAAACCCCCCAATACTGACGGAACGGCTTAATGGTGCTCCTTCTGGGGTGAGATCTGTATTGAGCCTCTCCTGGGTGAAAGGTAGCCTCTAGCCAATTGTATATTTATCTACAAATAAAAATATGTATATATAAACTCCTTAAGCAAGCCCCAATGGCTAACTTATATCAAGACCCCACTTTGAAGAAATATAATAGTAACTACCCAGAAATCTACATCTTTATGTGATAAACTAGCTAAGAGTCATTACATGACCCATCCATCACATACAAGGGCCCATTTTACAGGACTGTTCAAATGTAACGAATGCAATCAATGCCCCTGGATCAATTCAGGTAAACTATTCACCCTATCTAATGGAGAAACTTTCTGCCCTAAATTTAGTGCGGACTGTAACACAGAAGGCATGGTGTATCTTTTGACCTGTAAATGTGGAGCCTTTTATGTTGGTAAAGGAAGTTACGACTCACATTAAATGACCATATCTACTACTCTGTTAATGGCAAAATGACCGCTCCAGTAAGTAGGCATCGTGATCTATACCATAGATTTGACAACACCATTTCATTCATGGTATTGGAAGTTATTCCCAAGGACCCCAGAGGGGGTAACTGGGATAAACGCATATTACAAAAAGAAGTGTTTTGGATTGAATGTCTAAATGCAACACGCACACCAAGCATCAATTAAACATTGTCCTATAATCCATTTCTGTAATAAGTACCCAGTGTTTGTATGTATCTGATTAGGATGTTACAAAGGTAAGGTAGGCATGGCACTTGTTACAATTGGAATTTGATATGTTAGCCATTGGGGCTTTGCTTAAGGGGTTATATATATATATTTTTCTTTGTAGATAAATATACAATTGGCTAGAGGCTACCTATCACCCAGCAGATCCTCAATACAGATTATTATCCTACCACAGAAGGAGTACCATTAAGCCGTTTGGTCAATATTGGAGTGGCTTATCCAGGGCCATGGACTTTTTGTTGAACATTTTAGTGAGGTATGTTGTCTCCTTTCTTTTGTCCCCCTTTTTTTGTTGCCCAATCAGTTACTTAAGACTGGGGTCCTGTTTGTGGGCTGCTGGGGCTTATATGCCTCATAAACTATTTATGTTCTTTTTCTGTTTCTTCATAGACCTCTATACATAATATTGGCCTCTTAGAGTTAACTAAGGTGTATATTATCAGGAAACAGTCAGTGGCCTTACTATGTTCATCTAAAGGGGAGGTGAGTTTCACTCCTCGATATTCTGTAATGATTTTATATATGTATGTATATGTTCAATAAAGTGTTGTATTTTACAAATTATTGTTGCATAAAGTCCATGCGTTTCCTTCTATTTATAATTATACTGGGATGATGCCTGTAGCTGTAGGCGTTACCCCAGTACTGTTTTTAAGAGCTGACGGTCAGCCCTCTCATAATAGCAATCAGAGCGGCTAACAAGCTGTTATATACCGCCCTTCTGATGACTTTACAGGAATCTCCTGTCCCACCAGGAGGCCCGATGGACCAGCCGGCGCTTCCACTGGCTGATCACAGAGCCGAGCAAAGACCAGATTGGCTTTGTTTGGCTCTATATTATAATAACCCGGAAACGATGACCTTACATTACTTCCGGTTTACTCAGAAATAAACAACACCATTTGTAAAAAAGTAAAGTATTTGATCATACCAATCTTGGTGCAATTGAATGCTTTTAAGGGCAGAGTCTCGATTGACCAGACGGGATCAGCTTTGTTCAGCTCCGTTAAATAGTAAACTGGAAGCGTTGAACTAACATCACTTCTCGTTTACTCGGGAATACATGGCACCATTAAAAAAAAAATAAAAGCAACACCAAGATCGGTGTGATTGAATGCTTTTAAGGGTAGAGGAGGGATTTGGGGTCTTATTGACCCCAGATCCCTCCATAAAGAGTACCTGTCACATGTCTTTTGCTGTCACAAGGGATGTTTACATTCATTCTGACAGCAATAAACGTGATCAAAAATGTTTTTTAAATATCAGTGTAAAAAAAAACAAAAAAAGTAACATGTCCCCTCCCCCAGGGCTTGAGCACAAAGTTGAACAAGTTGGGAGAAGTTGCCGCCAGGATTGGTGTTATACAAGTGGAGTGGTATAGCATAATCAGCAAGGATTATCTGTCATAATCCCTTTATACTTCTTTTGGTGAATATATTGGCAATTCCAGTCTTCCTGGCTCTACAATTAAGAAGTGTGGGTGATGGAGACCATTTTTGGAGGAACCTTAAGAGAATATTTTGGCTTATAAAACACAATGTGATATATGACCACCGGAATGTGGTCATATAGGTCTGGTGAGTGAGCCATTTGTTTGTCTTTGCACCGAGGTGTGGCTACATGGATCTTCTTGTCACCATTATTGAGCCTTAAATAAGGACTGTTACACCTTATGTTTATTTATCACGTGGTGGAAGCACAAGAATTTTTTATGGAAATAGGATTAATATATGGCTATTGATTATATTGTTTGATGAATAGTTTACCAACGGGTTGTCCAGCCACAGATAACCAATATCCAGCAATTATATTAGGTTCACTTGGGTGAACTCTTGTTCATTTTATGCACCGCGCCTACCTATTCATTATTAGTTCACATATAAGTGTCACTTTCACTTTTTAGGAGCAGCTGTAAAACCTCTGGGGGGGGGGAGGTAAACATTAATTAAACACCAATTTATTCTTCATTATATATTTTTTTATGTTACTTCTAGTATTTGGTACCACAATGACGTATTCTTTTTTTAAATGTACACACATCACTCCTGCAAGCATGCAAACAGCAATCGTCCCACACATGTGAGGTATCACAGTGTCACCACAAACATCAGATCATGGGCAGTAACTCTAGCAGCAGACCTCCTCTGTAAATCTAAAGTAGTAACATGTAAAGGCTTTTAAAGCATTGCCTGTGGATAGTCACATTTTTAACCACTTGCCTACCGGGCACTTACGTATATCCCCTTCCTGCCCAGGCCAATTTTCAGCTTTCAGTGCTGTCGCACTTTGAATGACAATTGCTTGGTCATGCAACATTATACTCATATGAAATTTTTATCATTTTTTTGAGACAGATAGAGCTTTATTTTGGTGGTAATTAATCACCTCTGGGTTTTTTTATTTTTTGCTAAATAAACCAAAAACAACTGAAAATTTAGAAAAAAAAAGTTTTTTCTTAGTTTCTGTTACAAAATTTTGGAAATAAGTGATTTTTCTCCTTCACTGATGTGCAGTAATGAGGCTGCAGTGATGGGCATTGATAAGCTGCACTGATGGGCACTGATAGGGGGCACTGATGAATAGGCACTGGTAAGTGGCACTGATGGGCATTGACAGGCATCACTGATGGGCACTGAAAAGCAGAACTCACATATTGCACTGATAGGCGGCACTAATAGGTGGCACTGATAGGCAGCACTGACTGGCACTGATAGGCGGCATTGGCTCTGTTAGGTGGCACTGACTGGCATTGTTAGGCGGCACTGATAGGCGGCACTGATGCACAATGATAGGCGGCACAGATTGACACTGATAGGTGGCACTGATTGGCAGCACTGATACGCGCAACTGACTGGCACTGATAGGTGGCACTGAAAGGCAGCTCAGATGGGCACTGATATGTGGCATTGATGTGCACTGGTAGGCAGTGATATGTGGCATTGATGTGCACTGGTAGGCACTGATATGTGGCATTGATGTGGCTCTGATGGGCACTGGCAGGTGGCATTGATGGACACTAACAGGTGGCACTGATGGGGCTACACTGATCATCAGGGCACACTGATCATTAGTGCCATGATCATCAGTGTAGATGTCCCCTCTGAGTAATGCCGATTACCGGCTCTCCTCTCGAGCTGTCAACGTGTGATCAGCTGTGATTGGACGCAACTGATCACATGACAGAGCCGACGTCATCGGCTCTTTCCGTTGATCGGTGATCCACTATGTTCCCCGGGGGCGCACATGCGAGGTTAGAGTGGGAGGATGTCGTATGACGTCCTCCCAGGACCGCTTTGCGCGCGTCATTTCCTTATATGGCAGGCGGGAGGCAGTTAAGGCATAACATGTTTGGTATCCATTTACTCAACATAACATCATCTTTCATATTTTAACCTAAAAATTGGGTTATGTATTGTGTTTTTTGCATTATAATTCAATAGTGTTTTTTTACCAAAAAATTGTGTTTGAAAAATCTCTGTGCAAATTACATAAAAAATTGCAAAACCCACCATTTTATTCTCTATTAACTCTGCTTTAAAAAAAACATATCATGTTTGAGGTTCTAAGAAGTTCTCTAGCAAAAAAAGACTGCAACATGAAAACAAAAAGTGTCAAACAAGGCCTGGTCTTCAAGTGGCTACTGGAAATATAATTTCAATCTGTATTCCTTTAATTAAACGTAATTTTATGAGTGCTGGAATGCAGATACACGATCATCGCAATACATTGGTTCTGACTCTGGCAACATGGCAGCCGAAGTCTAACCAGACCTGGAAATCGCAGACAATAATAAAGCACTTTTACATACTCTAGCAAAACTTTCTGACTGATATGAGCCAATCATTATTTATTGGTGCGAAAATCGTCTCCATAAGCGCATCGTGTGCTAGTGGTTGCGGCCATTTTGTCGAAGAACAAAAAATGATATGAATTAAGGAAATGACTCAAGAAACATGTCTCCGCTATCGGGGACAAATTAATGACAAGTATGTGTCTCTAGGTGGAGGTCAATAGGGCGAGCAGAGATCTTTATTGTCGTCACTAGCAGTGCGTCTGGGCTGAGTGTCAGTGTGGGGTGTAATCGGTAGACATGGCGGAGCTGAGGGCCGTGTGATGCCCGGGGAGGAGCGGCCCAGTGAAGCGGACGGAGAAGCCTTCTAGCATGGGAATCCTATTCACCAAGATATGGAGGCTTTTCAGCAACCAGGGTAAGAGGCCCCGCACCCCCTCATGCCTGCAGGAGAGTTACATGACACCTGGCTCTGGAGGACTACAACTCCCAGCATGGCCCGACAGCTGGAAACCTAGCTAGAGACTTTCCAGGGAGAGGTCTCAGTCCCCCTCCCCCAGGGTGGTGGCAGTGCTCCTCACAGTGATGGAGCTGCCATAAGGAGCTCCAGTCACACCTAAGCATTCTGTTGTGAAGCGCTTATCACTAAGACCGCCTATTGATTAGGAATTACCTTTGCCAGTGAACCCGCGAGGTGTGCGCCGTTGTACCGTGTGTTCACAATGAATGACAACGCGCTGAGCGACACCATGCAGACACCCCGGTGTCAGCCGGACATTCATCTTTATTTCTTTTAGACTTGGATAGAGATTCAAATTTGATTGATCCACGTTATACGAAAGAAGACTTCATGGAAAGGAAATCGTACTGAATTCATGTAGATAGAAGAGTCGTCTGTGGAAGAAGAGGGGGACAAGGAGACTACAGTGGGGAACGTGATGGACAGAAGGGGGGGGGGGGGCCAGGGGACTACAGTAGGGGACATGATGGACTGCAGAGGGGGACCAGGGGACTACAGTGGGGGACGTGATGGACAGAAGGGGGGGACCAGGGAACTACAGTGGAGGACATGATGGACAGAAGGGGGGGACCAGGGAACTACAGTGGAGGACATGATGGACTGAAGGCGGGGGACCAGGGGACTACAGTAGGGGACATGATGGACTGAAGAGGGGGACCAGAGGACTACAGTGGGGGACATGATGGACAAAAGTAGGGGACCAGGGAACTACAATGGGGGACGTGATGGACAGAAGGGGGGGACCAGGGGAATACAGGGGGGAACATGATGAACTGCAGTGGGGGACATGATGGACTGAAGAGGGAGACCAGGGGACTACAGTGGGGGATGTGATGGACAGAAGGGGGGGGGACCAGGGGACTACAGTGGGGGACGTGATGGACTGAAGGGGGGGACCAGGGGAATACAGTAGGGGACATGATGGACTGCAGAGGGGGACCAGGGGACTACAGTGGGGGACGTGATGGACAGAAGGGGGGGGACCAGGGGACTACAGTGGGGGACGTGATGGACTGAAGAGGGGGGAACTACAGTGGGGGACATGATGGACTGAAGGGTGGGGACCAGGGGACTACAGTGGGGGACGTGATGGACTGAAGGGTGGGGGACGTGATGGACTGAAGGGTGGGTACCAGGGGACTACAGTAGGGGACATGATGGACTGAAGAGGGGGGGATCTACAGTGGGGGACATGATGGACTGAAGAGGGGGACCAGGGGAATACAGTGGGGGACATGATGGACTGAAGGGGGGGACCAGGGGACTATAGTGGGGGACATGATAGAGTGAAGGGGGGGGACTACAGTGGGGGACGTGATGGGCTGAAGAGGGGGACCAGGGGAATACAGTGGGGGACATGATGGACTGAGGCCTCTGTCACACCGTACCTGCACAGACTGATCACACATCCTGTGTCATCGTTCTGCCTCATCGGTGCCCGCCGTTCCCTGTCTGCCTCATCGGTGCCCGCCGTTCCCTGTCTGCCTCATCGGTGTCCCGCGGTGCCCGTTCCCTGTCTGCCTCATCGGTGCCCGCCGTTCCCTGTCTGCCTCATCGGTGCCCGCCGTTCTGTCCCCCACCATCACTGCGCTGCCCTTGCGGGATGTTTGCGACACTTTCCCTTTGACTTGAATGTGTAGCCTTTTGGCAGGCTTGCCACTTGCCGATCACTACAAGTCAGGCCAATTTTGCCGCAGGCACGAAGCGAAGCATCGTGGCCGCGCCATGTAAACACCCCCATTCCCTGCCTATTGCAGCTTTATGGGGGGTGGAGGTTGCTGGACATCAAAATGTGGCTCACTTGCACATTTTTGCTGCCCCCCCTCACCACCACCCCAAGTCCAAATGAGGCCTTACACTTTTTTTTCTTTTTTTACAGTTTTTTTTTGTTATTTGTTCGAATTTGTTTTATTTTTTTAATTTTTTTTTCATAATCCTTTTTTGGGGGAGGGGGGGGGGGGTTATGGCTTTTCACTGCCTGACACATGTAGTGCAGTGATGTCTGCTTCCTTCAGTTTAGATTCGTTAAACTGCAGCCATACTGCAGAATGCCACACAGCTCCACACTTCACATCACGCCTGTGTTTTGGTGTGAACCAGGCACATAGTAAACAATTTTGTGTCTTGCAGAGACCTGCGTTTTTCTAGTGTAGGTTTCTGCATGTGGTGTGTGCAGGTGACATACATAGAATAAAACAATGGACAGAAGAACAAAGCAGGTAGCTTTAGTGGAATGACATAGGTGGTGTATATTGAATAGAAGAGTGGACATACGATGAATTGAACAGGCGACATTAGTGGAATAAAACAGGTGAAATAAGCCAGTGTACTAATCTGTATACAAGAGAATTGCAGTTGTGCTCAAACATTTGCATACCATAGCAGAAATCATACAATTGTAGCACTGATCTTTAAAATATGGCTGATCATGCTACAAAAACTGCCTTTTATTTAAAGTGGTTGTACACCCTTACATATACCCAGTGAAGTGACTGGCCTCAGGTGATACACATTACAAATCCTCCTACAACAGTTGTACTTGTTTATCTGTAGTCTTTTCTTCTCTACTTCCATTTAAAGTGCTGAATTTTAAAAAACTGGTCTGAGAGTTCAGGGAAAGGGGGGAGAGAGCTGCAGTTGCACTCTGTAGAGCTCAGTGAGGAGAGTCCCAAGAGCTGATTGGAGGGAAGAGACACCCCCCCCCCGCTTCACACATCACACAGAGCTGAAGCTTTCAATCTTCTGGAGGCCCCTCCCCCGTCACCATTTTTCTTCTGGTGTCAGAAGTTAAACACTTAAAGTGTTATTAAACCCACAACTGTAAAATCAGTCTGTATATGCAGTAAAGCATGCTTGTTATACACACTGTAGAACTTAAGGGGTTAATTCTCTGCATTGTGTAAAAAGAATTCTTGATCCTGTCTTCTCTGCTCCTCCCCTTTATCCACAGTCCCCTATCCATCTGCTAATAGTACAGAGCCCTAGGAGGCACTCTGCACATGCTCAGTTTGGTGTGTATTGCTAAGGAGTTTTTCTTTGTCTTGGGAGAGTGCATGTGATCAGCACAGGGCCAATAAGCACTGTCCAGACAGAGGGTCAGGGGTTAGGCAATCTCATAGGGCAGTGAGAGGACAATGAAAACTCCATTTCCATGTTGTGTGTACTGTGGGAGACCAGTTATAGTGAATGCAGGGTCAGGGGTTTAGGAACACTTTAGAGGGATATGCTTTGTTGAGATTTCATTTCTGAGGTTTGCGATCACTTAGATGTTAATACATGGAGCGAGTTCTGATGAACTGGCTGATGTCCAACCCCTAAGTGGACCGTCCAACCTGAAATCCTTTGATCTAAAAATGAAAGGAACTGAGCAGAAAATTGTTGTTGTTAAGATAGTGATCATATGAAGCCATTTATTATCACATAGTTGTTTGGCTCCTTTTTAAATCCTAATGATAACAGAAATCACCCAAATGGCCCTGATCAAAAGTTTACATACCCTGGAATGTGTGGCCTTGGTACAGACACACACAGCTTAAAATGGCAATTTAAAGGTTAATTTCCCATATCTAAGGCTTTTTAAATTACAATTAATGTCTGTGTATAAATAGTCCGTGAGTTGGTTAGCTCTCACGTGGTTGTACTGAGCAGGCTAGATACTGAGCCATGGGGAGCAGAAAAGAACTGTCAAAAGACATGTAACAAGGTAATATAACTTTATACAGATGGAACAGGATATAAAAAGATAGACAAAGCCTTGAATATGCCAGTCAGTACTGTTCAGTCGCTTATTAAGAAGTGGAACATTTGGGGATCTCTTGATACCAGACAAAAGTCAGGTAGACCAAGAAGGATTCCAGCCACAACAGCTAAAAGAATTGTTTGATATGCAAAGAAAAACCCACAGGAAACCTCAGGAGAAATACAGGCTGCTCTGGAAAAAGACGGTGTGGTTGTTTCAATTTCAAGAATATGGTGAAAAGGGGTCTGTAGCTGCCATCATCCCTTAAAACTAGCAAAGTAAAAAAATATGCTGGTTATTTCAAGGAGCACAATATGATGATACTTGAACAAAAATGAGCTGCATGGTCGAGTTGCCAGAAAGATACCTTTACTGTGCCAATGCCACAAAAAAGTCCGGTTACAATATGCCCAACAAGACTTTGACATGCCTCACAGCTCCAGGCACACTGTAATCTAGAGTGACATGACCAAAACCATAAGTGTAATGTTTGGAGAGGGGTCAACAAGGTCTATAGCAACAAAAATACCATCCCCACTGTGAAGCATGGTGGTGGTTCATTGATGTTTTAGGGTTGTGTGAGCTCTAACAATATGGGGAAACCCTAAGCAGAAGGCCAAGTTGACCCTCCAGTGGTTACAGCAGAAAAAAGTGAAGGTTCTGGAGTGGCCTTCACAGTCTTCTGACCTTGATATCATTGCGCCACTCTGCGGAGATCTCAAACATGCGGTTCATACAAAATGACCACAGACTTTGCATGACCTGGAGGCGTTTTGCCAAGGCAAATGGACAGCTATATGACCTGCAAGAATTTGGGCCTTCAGAGACAACTACTACAAAAGACTGCACGCTGTCATTGATGCTAAAGAGGTAATACACAGAATTAAGAACTAAGGCTATGCAGACTATTGAACGGGTCCTTTTATTTGTTTACTTGTTGCCATGTTTTGTTTTATGTTTGTGTCGTTCTGTTATGACCTATAGTTACCGAATGTGAATCCCAGAAGAAATAAAAGAACATGTTTTGCCTGGTCGCTCCATGTTTTCTTTAAAAATGGTACATACTGTACACTACCAATTCTCCAAGGGTATGCAAACTTCTGAGCACAACTGTACTTGGAGCAGGGGACTCATCCCTTACATAACATAGAACAGGGGT